CTCTTATTGAATTAGAGGATAAAACTGAACTAATGTCACAAATATGGCTTAGTAAGGAAAGGACTTTCACAAGACTCCTAGTTATAAGTCATTGGTATGTTACGGGTTTTGCACATGTGACCATTTCAGGTCATAGGACTTGTTTATTGCTTTATGATTGGTTCATAGATTTGCACATATGAGCAATTGGGTCATTTGACTTGTTTATTGCTTTATGATTGGTTTATAGATTTGCACATATGACCACTAAGGTTATTTGACTTGTTTGTGAATTTCACACATATGACTAGTTTGGTCAAATGACTTGTTGGTTATGATTGAGTTTCGTGCATGTGATTGCTTTCAGTCACATTCCTAACCTGTGATGAACGTCTATACAAGAGGTCAATAGGGCCTATGGAAGATGAGTTCTTTACACTTTATTCTAAGTAATTTCCTTGTAGTTACCTTCACTCCGCCTTCCTTGTGAGTGTTCACTTTCACAACGATCTTTGTTACTGGGCAGTTATCTGGATTTGCCCAATATTCTGGCATTGATGGTTGTCATGTAGTTCATGGCTTGTTTACCTGTTTACGCTCTGTTTCATCGCTAGCTAGTTATCATAGTTGCTTATGTACCCCTTCCTATAAAATGTCTTCTGCATGCTGTCTATCATTTACTCCCAGGATTGGCATTCAATTAGGGAGATTGGAACATTGTATTTAGGGAGAGTACTAGTATCGTTCTTTGTACCAGCTCATTTTCTTTAAGTTTTAATGGAGTCCTTTGTTCAAACAAGACCAAACGCCTACAGGTTTGCTTGATGACTGTCCTCTACCTTCAATCTATCGTATTAGTTGTATTATTCTATATGAGGCTAGAGCAGTACCTGTGAGGCCGCTCCTTATTACTACAGGTTTCTATAGCCAGAATTCTACGATATTGTTTATCACAATTCCCCTTTAGCTTTGTTCTTGTAGCATTTATGGTAGTTCAGTCAGGTGTCTCCTCCTCGCCTCAGTAGAAATAACTTTGCCCCTGAAAACCTTTACCCTGTAGTGTAGCTATTACAATTACCTAGGATGGTGTGGTACAATTGGCTACCAGATACTTGCATTGTCTGTATGTTGGGGTAGTTTGATTATGGAGTGTAGTTGGCTGCCTCACCCATTACAAGTAAGGCCTACCGTCTATTTGTCTGCTTCCCTTACATTCCCCTCCCATTTCTGTTACATCGGTTAGGGGTGCCTCTTACACATTTTTTAGTCTGCACTTCTTGACTGACCTGTGGGGCTGTCTTCAGATAGTCCTAGCTGACGCTTTACAGGCTTGGTTGCGCCTCGGATCACCTAGGTTGGATTGTGTAGCTGGTACCGGTACCTTCAGGTATTGGTGCTGGCTTCTTTGTGGCTTCCGGCTCTGACTTGTAGGCCCTCCCCTGGCTGACTGATATGAAGGGTTGTGGATGTGGAGGTGTGGTCTTGTAAGTAGCTGTCCCTTATAGCTAATTATTATCTGTTCTTTGGTTGTTGGAGAGTTGATCTGCCTGTGGGGCTGCAGGGTCTGAGCTGGAATGTGGTATTTGGTCTAAAGCCTGATTGGAGCTTGGCTGTGTGAAGTGGAACTTCTGCGAGGATCATTTAGGTGGGTGCCAAATTAGGCGGCATCCTGTTAAGTATTTTCTAGGCTATTTATACCTCTACAAACAGGTCATGTGGAACTGATAGCTACCTGTTCAGGTAGTAGAATATGATGGTGCAGTTGAGACTTAGTTGAATTTGAGTTAGGTATTCAAATTTAGTTTAGTTTTATTGGCTGGGCTATGGTTATGGCTGGGTGAGAAAAGGTACCATAGATAAGGAATAGGCCTAGCCCTACTGACTGTTTTAGTCTGTTACCACTTCTGGGTTTCCTTTTGTCAGGGGGTGATAGGCAGGATTAGGCTGTATAGGGCATGGCAAGATCAGTGAGTGGTCATGTCTGGGAGGGTTTCTACTATGAAGAAGGTTTTGTGAGACTATATTCAGGCCAGATAGTAGTATTTTTATATTCTTGGACGTGGAACCTTATCATGTTGGTATTTTCTTTAGCTTCAGCTATACTTAGAGCTAGTTAGCTTCATACTAGACTGGCTATGAAACTCAGACTAGGGCAGGTACTTGGTGGTTTGATAATTTTCTATTTAGTTCTCATACAGGCATGACTCAGGAATAGTATGTACGGGACTGTAGAATTAGTTAGCTTGATATTTGTGGTATACCGGTTAGCAGTATCCCTTTTCCTACAGCGTCTCATTGTATGCCAGTGTTGGCAGTACAAGTTTAAATAAAATTAGATTGACTACTAAGTACTTTTCCTGCTTATTATATATAGCTTTACGAATATAAAACACCTTCATGTTCTTTATTATTATTACGACCTTTATTGCTATTATGACGAGAAGACTTTACACAAGGAAGAGTTAGTGCAAACTTATAATACGCATTACAGATAGAAGATATTGGTCTTGTACTCTCAGTAATGTAGGCTTAGCCCTAAGAGCTCTCATACAGAACAAGAAGAAGAGAAGTATCATTCTCCATCACCAAGAACTAACCACATAATAGGGGATTCTTACAATTGAATTCAACATCCTGTTGAGTTCTTGTATGTCTTAACTATTCCTTCATACCATTGATAGTCCCACATTTATTTCCCAAACTACTTTTACCATTGCTGTTTCCACCAACTTTTTTTATTTTATTTTATTTTTTACTAGAACAATAATTTCCTAGTTACCTTTGATATGGATATATTCCTGTACTCTGATGATTTTCTTGTATTCGCTTTCCTATGCTATGGGTGCTTCTCCTCTTTTCCATCCTTTTCCCTTTTCCCAAGCACACTCTCCAGTTCTTGAGTATAAAAACTTCTCACATTATTTACGTTAACAACAAAACAACTCATAATAGATCTGGTGGGAACAGCACCGCTATTGCTTCTGACTTTTACTCCTGCTGAGAAAAAGTCTCACAGTAGGTACGCCAAGACCGAACTGGAATTTTGAAAATCATATAGGTTCATGAGCGGAGGTTTAGAGAAGTCAGAAGAAAAAAAAACCCCAGAGCATACGACAATGAACAATACTACTCAGAAATGAATAAACACAACAAAATAAATAAATAGAAACATTGAAGCCATTATATAGGTTTCTGCCATTTTGACGGGAAACCTCCGCTAAGCGGGTGGAAGTGCTGCAAAGAAGGAATTTGTAATATTAATTGGAATAAACATCCAAATCTCTTTCTATGCCACAAGTATAGCCTCCTTGGTTGTAGGAAACGGTTTTCGTTTAGGAAGATGTCATCGAATATAGTCCCATACCCATTCAATTAGGTTGAGATCTGGAGAAGCTTTATAAATGAAATTTATTTTCTTATTAGTAGTGTAAAAACAATAGATAATTAGGAGAGAGTTACAGGCAGGCCAGGCAATCTTATTGATTCCAGAATTCGAATGATGTTCGTTAAGGAATTTAGAGCGATGTGGTCCAGCTCCGTCCTCTATTAACAAGACTTGACCTCTCTCACCATGTTCAGCAGATGCCACAAGCTGGTGGTAGAACGGGTAAAGTCGCTATTCACAAATACTTTTACGATAACGGAACCAATCGATACCTCCCTTTTTCTCATTACACCTTTTCTTTTTTGTGATCTTACATGGATTAGCTGGTCGGCTATGAGGTCTCTGACCTTTAGGAAGAGCTCAGCAACGCTCCATTTCTTTTTCATACCAATTATCCCGAACCTCTTGGATAGCTTCTTCTACTATCAGTTTCTCCTTTGCTAGCATCTCCAATGCTAACTCTTTGTCCTCTGGAGTTTCCTCCTCCCACATAAAAAAAGGACATTCCATACAGGGGATCCCGTAAGCAATTATGCCCCAAAACATTAAACGTGTCTGACCAGGTCACTCAAGATTCATACAGTCTGGGTGGTACTCCTCACCAGCCTTGCATATAACTCTTTCAGGCTCATAGTAATCACCAACAACCAAGTACATCTCATCCGTTGAAATCCAGCCATCAAAGTACCTTTGTACTGGCTGCACTTTCAGCTGATCACAGAAAAGCTTTCGCTTATGAAGGTTATCAGGAGAGATATTGGGCTTTGTTCGTGGAATATGGTGATCATACACTGCCACTTTCAATATGTGGGCAAGTGATGTGTGATGGATTTCAAAGGACATTTTCTTTGGTAATGTTGCAAAGGACTTACGGTGCTGCTCAGCATTCTGTATTGCTGTCACAATGATAGTGAGCTTTTGCTCCTCATTGAATTTCTTCAGCCTTCCAGAATGTGGTACTGGCTGGAGGTTTTCGTCATCCAGAGCAGAAATCTGGTTCTGTGTCTCACTCTTTGCCATACCAATCTCGGTATGAGCGATAATATCATGTACGGTGCTCTTGGCAATTCCCAACTCATTGCCAATCTCACTTTCTGATAGCAGGTGGCGTTCTTGGTAATGATACAAGGCCAAAATTGCACCATGGTGGGATGGATGAATCTCCTGATTGGGGACCCGAGGCACAGGTTCTTTACATGAGATTGGTGGAGGACAGAGAGTCATGAGTTTGTAAGAGATGGGAGTATAGTATTTGAGACTTTGGAGAGGAAATGCCAGTGGCGATGGATTGGCTAAGCGATACTGGTACATAGACTTTAGTTTTGTGATATGCCAATGCTACAGCAACTGTTTCAAAATTTGTGCTCGGTCTTGGCATGCTTGCCCGGAGACTTTTTCTCAGCGCGAGTAGATAATAATGAAAACTTAAGGTTGGTAAAGTAGACATATTTCTTGACTTTCTTGAACCCCTCGTTACTAGTACTGTATTGTATAAGCACTAGTACAAAGCAGGGTATCTTGCGGCTCCTGTCCCCTCTGTCATCCCGATTCAGAAAGTGGTAAAGGTGTCAAATTCTTCCTTGGCAAACCAATGCGACTTTCGGTTTTCACGCTTTTCCTCATTCAGTGCTAGCTTATGCTTATTTATTATCAAATTTTAGAATTATCTAAAACGAGATCGAGGCAGACCAACTATGCTGCGACGACCGAGAGGGACCTCTTTTCTATTACTATTATTGTATTTTTGTTGTTTTCCAGCGCCCTTGGTAAAATTTGCCCCCTCCTGCTACGTTGCTGCAATTCCCCCGTAGTTACTCCATTGCCTTCTTGTCCCCGTCATCTCTCATCCCTTGCCTACCACTCCCTCTCCACTCCACCGTCCCGCGTACGGTATTTTCCTAGAACTTTCCTCCTTTCCTTCTCTTGCTTAAACAAATCTCCCATCACCAGTACCTTACCTCTCCTTTTTATCCATAGGCTCTCTCTCACTCTCCTTTCCTCGCCCCATCGCCTGCCTCCATCTCCCGAGACACCTATCACGAATCACACTTTCTATTGTTACCCCTTCGCCTCCCTTTCTCAGATTCTTTATCCCCTGATCTCCAACAACCTCGACAGCTTACCGAGACTCTGGCTCCTTCCAGTCTTTGGAACCCGTCAGGGCTGGTGGCTGAGCCTTTTCACTTCTAACCTTCTCAGCTTCACGAAGCTCCGGGGGGGGCTGTTTTTTTAAATTTTTTATTTATTTATTACTTCTTTGCTATGAGCTCCGTTCTTGTCTCGTGGGGTTTATTCCTCGCAATAGCATTCGCAGGGTATTGGTGGTATAGTGGGTCGCGTAAAGTTCAGCCTCATGGCAAGCGCATCATTTTGGCTGCCTCGGAAAAGTTATCTGGTGGCAGTGTCTTTGTGAGCAGTGGAACGGACGGTAATGCTGCGGAAAAGAAGAAGAAGTCTAAAAAGAAGAAGGCGGCCCTCTCGAACACTTGCACTAAAAAAGTGGCTTCCATCGAAGGTGGAGAGAAAGTTGCGCAATCAACCGATGACGATGCGGCGCAAGATGAAGATGAGCTGCAAGCTTTGCGTAGGCTTCAATCTCTTACAGAGGGTGGTGGGAAGAAAGGAGCTCTTTCAGGCTCCTCAGCAAACCAGTCTCAATCGCAGAAGTCTCAATTACAGAAGCCTTACCTCACTACCCCTGCTTCTCCATTTGCAACAGCTTCTCAGACATCCTCTACCGGCGCTGATGCAGATATTGACGAAGAGGAGACATCCCAATTGCCCGGGCCTGGGTTCCAACAATCTACTTCTTCGGATCCTAGTGACATGCTAGAAGAGTCAACCACAGGAGCCCGCATCCTTACAATCACACCATCAACACAGCTTCCACGCACACAGAAGCAGAGGTCTACCACACCCGCCATCCAAAGTGGAACGCACGCCAACAAAAATGCGAAGAAGAAGGAGAAGAAGAAGCTAGAAAAGGAAGCAGAGAGAGCTGACCAAAAGGCTAGATTCGAGCAGCACCGCGCGAGTGTGAGAGCCGCGGAAGTAGCTAAGCAGAAGAGCAAACTACCTTCTGATGATCCCATGGTTGGTTCTGCGTGGATTACCGTCAACGGCAAGAGGTCCTCCACTCCTACCAACGCTCCAGAGGCCAACCCAGCTTCTGGTGATCTTCTCGACACCTTCGTTTCTCCCGATACCCATGCTCGCACTCAACACATCTCCGGTGATAGTGAGGAAGACGAGAGCCTTGCAAAGAGTCCAGACCCCACTCACCGTCAAGATATAAATGACTCGTTATGGGAGACGGTTCCCGCCTATCTTGCAGCCGATTGGAGCGAGGTTCAGAGAAAAGGCCGGAAGCAGAAGAAAGTGATCAACAACCCTGATACCGGCAAGAGCGGTGATGAGTCGGCTAGTGTTGAGTCCACTAAAGTTTCCCAACAACCTAATCCCGGGAGACCAACATTTTCGAAGGAGGGTCTCAAGAAGGAAACCTCTAAGGCTATGGCCAATGAATCCACTAAGGCCGGGAATGGATCCCAATTGTTGGATGCTGGTAGTACTACCAGTGATACGAAAAATTCGAGCTCAGATTGGGCAGAAGTTGATGACTCGGATAATTGGGCAGTTCACACGGAGAGCTAGGTTGACGGGTGTTGATTATGTGTGCTGTTCTCCAAAGCTTATGCCTGCTTTCGCGTCGAACATGGCTCGTTGCTTCCTGCCAACCGAACGGGTATTCACCTGTCTGTATATCTTTTGTTTTTACAATTCCTGCTATCTTTTCTTTCTACGGTCAATGAATTTCTTTTTTCATCAGCAAAAATTGGTGGCAATAAAAGGTGGTTTTTTCAGCATGGTATTATTTCCTAACTCTCTGTTGGAAGCAATTTTCCTTTGTTGGTAATTTCCACCGTCCACCTTTAGTATTGTTTCTTCTTTTTCCAGAACAATTTGGTTTTTTTCTCCTTTCCAATGGTCGCTGTGTAGCTGGGGCATCTCTTTACACTATTTCCAGATTTGTTGGCATCCAAAGCAGTTCCCGCTCCCTGTATGTAGATGTCGATGGAATTGTGTTCAAGTCAACAGCCCTAGGAATGCAAATAGTTCTGAGCGGCGCACTTTGCCTTGAAATATTTAAGGGAAATGATGGTGATCAAAGTTTAATATCAAAGGTGCATGCGATTGACTGTTACTGTACTCTCCAATATGACCGCCGGCAGCCTTACAGGCTATTCGTGTTTCTCATCCGCGTACTTTCCCACCAGCGTAACTTCCTCATGCTACCTTAGTGAAGGGAATGCAACGTTAACCCAAACTACAACTCCTACCGAGTGCTCAAGTGTGATACCACCGCCGCACTTTGACGTAGATTATTGTATTGCACTCGGGAAAGGTATTCAGGAACTATACAGTACCGTACTCGAGCACCGGTGCTTTGCTTTTGATAGACTGCGTGAGTGTCAATAAATGAAGTGTATTCTGGGGAGGTTTATCTCCTTGACACCGAATGAATGAGTATCTGCGAGGTACTGCGGTAGGCTGAACCTGGTAGCCACTTCTATACATCGGTAATGACCCGGGGGGGGAGCGGTGCCAAGTGTATTCCCTATGGTGGTGGTATTTTAAGGATTGCTATGATACAAGTACATTACCTGGCTACTATCGTGGCGATGCAGAAGGACATTTTTTAGTTAGGCTAGGTTTTGATGAGATACAGTAGCAGAGTACTGTAGTTGACAGCACATTGGCGCATGCCATTACGGGCGAAAGGGATATTTTTTAACCTATATCGTAGTATCATAGAGTACCCGAACAGAATGTCACTTCATGCATGACAGAAACAATACCGGTAGTGCCTGGAATAGCACGGCGGAATCTGTGAGCTTGAATGCCAGCTGCTGCTAATGTGGCGCCAGCATTTTCTATGTTTAAAATGCTTCGCTGGGGGAGTGGCCAGCTGACGGGATGAGTTCGACAACATATGGTACGGTAATTCTACCGTACTGTACTCGAGTACCTATGATATGAGCTCGGGGGTTGAGACAGGTTATGTTCATTAGTAAATTATTTTAATTCTGAACCAGCTGGGGAATTACAAAATAGTCTTCTCGCCACATTCACCACGGTGAAGCATAAATTTGTACAAGTATGATACAAGTTTCACCGGAACCATCCGCAGATTGCTCGCGTTCTGACCACCTTGCCTCTACTCTAGCCCTGGTACACCATAGCAAAGGCCAACCTGCCACCAACCATCCCTACTCCACTCCCCTCCGCTTATAGCCCACCGCATTTCATTTCCTACCTACCCACCTGCCTTTGTCCACATTTAACATCGTTTCCAGAAATCCTCCCGGGCATCATTCATTCTTGTTCCTCCTTTTCAGGTTCACACTACCTCTCCTTGATTTTCGGCTGGAACCCAGGATAAACCCTCCTTCTCATCTGTCAATACTCCTCCCACCAGCAAAAAAAAACAGAAAAAACAATACAAAAACAAGCAAACACCCCTTCCCCTTCCCCACCAAAATTTGCTCTCGACCCGAGACCATCCAACTATTTTTGATGGCGCAAATTAGAGGAACAGCAAACTATCATCTGGGCCCCGACCATAGGCCTTTCGGAGGCCCATCACACTCGGCAGCAACTTCGGATCCTTCCCCGCTTGATGCTATTCGTGAGCAAACAAATAAGATTGAGGATTTACTGGACACCTTTGCTGAACCTGTTAAACCGTATGTTCCACTTGGGGAGCCGTGAACTATCATAGGTTCACGGGAGGTTGTTGGGTTGTAGGATATTGGTAATTGGTTGCTAATTGAACCCACCGCCTCATGGTTTGTGGTCTCGTGCTACAGGTACCTACCCGCAATTGGAAGATTTCTCATCGTTGTAACCTTTCTTGAGGATGCGCTCAGGATTGTGACCCAATGGAGCGACCAACTTTTGTATCTTCATGACTACAGGCGCAGTATGTCCCCCCTTCTATATACGCTAAGCAGGGGGGTGCTCTCCGCTGAGAACGTGCGTCCCACATCGAGTATCGTGCTGACGCAAGGAACATCGCTTTTGAAGTTCCCTGGGGCATTACACATCTATTCTTAGCTGTTAATGTTGTTGCTATGCTGATTTGCTCGGTTCTGGTCATTGCCCGTCGCCATTCCGAATATGCCGTTGGGGGCCTTCTTGGTGTTGTCGTTACCCAAGCTCTCGGTTATGGATTAATTTTCGATTTGAACTTTTTCCTCCGCAATCTTTCTGTCATGGGTGGTCTACTCATGGTCCTTTCTGATTCGTGGCATCGCAAGCGTTTCGCTTTCGCCGGGCTTCCGCAAATCGACGAAAAGGACCGAAAGATGTATTTCCAGTTTGCCGGAAGAGTCCTGCTAATCTTCCTGTTCATCGGATTTGTGTTCTCCGGAGAGTGGAGTGTCAGCAGAGTCTTGGTGAGCTTCGCTGGGTTTGTTGCCTGCGTAATGGTTGTGGTTGGGTTCAAGGCCAAGTGGAGTGCGGTTTTGCTCGTCGTTATCTTGAGCATCTTCAACCTTATCATCAACAACTTCTGGACTGTGAGTTTAGCCCTTATCTGTATGTGTGAGGGCTTGCGGTGTGCTGAGACTTATATCTATATCAGCTTCACCCTCACCACCCTCACCGAGACTTCGCCAAGTACGACTTCTTTCAGATCCTGTCCATAGTGTAAGCGTTAGCTCCTAAACCTCTACTATCTTTTTCTAATTGCATTTCTAGCGGTGGCCTTGTCCTCCTTGTCAATATGGGCCCTGGCCAATTCAGCGTTGATGAGAAGAAAAAGGTCTATTAATAACCGGAGATACTTGGGTCAGGGAGATCGGGGGATAATGCATGGATTGATACTGGTAATGCGGTTGGCATGGTCGACGGGCCAACAGTGTAGGAGTCAGCATGAGTTAGGCTGAGATGACTATATGATCATTCAACTTTTGCACTGAGTTATGGGGGAAATGCGCAGAGCGGCTTTGTATAGTTCAATCGCACAGATAACAATCGATCAGGCTAAAGTAAACTTGCGGGGAAACGGGGCTTGGGCCATGTATGTTTTCTTTGTTTGGCGGGGGATATAGTGTGTTCCTCGGTGGCCTCCATTCTATCATTATCAACATTCCTCTTGTAGCTGGCCCAGAAATTTGGATTCGGAGTGTTTAATGATTGGGAAAAAAACCTGATTTCTTTATTTTTGGCACTGCCTCCAGCAATCACGATTTCGACTGAATGGATTGGCTTATATTATTAAGTACTGTACAGTCGTGTCTGAAAAGTCTACGTACCCCTCTTGACAACACTGCAACCATCAATCACCTCAACACCACCCCCCCCCACCATTGCACCACCACATTCTCAAACCCCTAGAGAAGACCAGAAAAGGGAAATCTATGCCCTATATAAACATACTGATATGGGGTATGGTAAAATTTCAAAGCTTATGAACCTCTCCAAGTCAACTGTTTCAACAGTGGTCAAAAATGCGAAATCCAGAGATGGAAACACAGTTGATACCCCCAGATCTGGCAGACCAACCAAGATTGCTGATGCCAAAGGGCAAGTAATTCTTGATATTATGGATGCTGAGCCTCATTTAGCATTAAGAGACATTACCCACAAAGTCAATATTGGTCTTGGAAAAGATACTGTTTGCAAGATATTCAAAGAAGCTGGTTTTAAGCTGAGGATACATAGGAAAAAGCTTTTTTGGAGAAAAGGACAGAAGGAGAAGAGAAAGGAGTTTACTAGGGTCAGGAGGAACTGGACATGAGCTTGGAAATGAGTTGTTTTTGTAGATGAGTCCACAATTGAATATGATCCAAATGCAGTAGGAAGGAAGTTCAGACTTAGGCCAGGTGAAGAGTTGAAAGAAAAGAACTTAAAGCATAGCTTTAAGTCAGGATGTACCAATATAGGTGTATATGCAGCAATGATACATGGAGGAAGAACTAAGCTGATTGCAGTAAGGAAGAGGAGTGAGGAAGAAAGAACCTGTAACCGGTACGGGTACTCGGTTATTGGTTTTGTTTTATGTTTTGTTTTAAGTATCGCTTTGAAACTTGGTTTGTTTTAAGTATCGTTTGATACTTGGTTTTGTTTTATGTTTTGGTTTAAGTATCACTTTGATACTTGGTTTGTTTTAAGTATCGTTTGATACTTGGTTTTGTTTTATGTTTTGTTTTAAGTATCGCTTTGATACTTAAGGAGTTTTACCAAAGTGTATCGATTGATACCTTTGATTATTTCTGTTCATGTTAAAACATGAACAGATTTGTGTATTTAAAGACCGCCTGTTTCTACAATAGAAAAGGCAGACTTCGACAGATAGTATTTCAATATACTTGGTTGAACCGTTACTCCATTGTTCCCCAGTACACCCTCAAAGCCTCCTTTAGTTCTCAGCTCTCGCCTCCTCTCTGGAAGAGCAGGCCACCTGCCAACTATCGTATCTATTACCGATAACGTGATTAGCACCTTGCGAACACGTTACAGAACTAGCAAGAGAGATAGGCTTGGTCTCAATTCCCATCAATATGCAACTGAGATCTACCAGCCATACCTGATCCCCTTCATAGAATGGATAAATAGGGCTCCTGAAACCATCTATGTGGCTGCTGATAATGCATGATGGTACAATAAAGCAGAAAACAAAAAATTACAGGAGGACTATAGATATCAGAGATTGGCTTGGCCACCCAACTCACCAGATCTCAACCCAATTGGGAATGCCTGGGCAATTCTGAAAAAAGTTCTCAGAAAGCGATTCTCCAAGATTGAGAGAAGGTCCCATAGTGTTGCTGAGTCATTTCAGGCAGCAAAAGAAGAGTGGGACCTCATTCCTCAATGGACATTTGATGGGTGAATTCAGCGAATGCCGGAGAGAATTCAGGCTGTATTGGATGCAGATGAAAGCCATACAAAATGGTAGCTTTAGGAAACTGTTATTTTCTATTTCTACTTTCATCGATTTTAAAATTGTACTTATATGAATTTTTTAGTGTAGTTAATATCATTATTTGTAGTAGTAGTGCCATTGCCTTGAGGGGTAGGTAGACTATTCAGACATGACTGTACAGTTGTATCTATTTAATAATTATACCCCTGTCCGGCAACTACAATTACAACACTTAATGAATTCAACTATATAAAATATTAAGATACAACGTCAATTAAGGAATAGATGAAAGTACATGACTTAAGCTTTAAAGAAATCCAATTACCATTTTGTATGACCTCCATGTGCATCCAAAACAGCCTGAATTCTCTCAGGCATTCTTTTTATCCAAGCATCTAATGTCTCGTGGGGAATCAAATTTTACTCCATCTTTGCTGCCTGAAATAATTCAGCACCACGATGGGGCCTTCTTTTCAATTTGGAGAATCGCTTTCTGAGGTGTCTTTTGCGTAGTGCCTAAGTATTCTGAATAGGATTGAGATCTGGAGAGTTGTACAGCCAAGGGAGTTTTTTGTAACCACAGTCTGCCTGCAATTTTAGATTTTCCTCACTACTATGCCAGGAAGCATTGTCTGCAGCTAGGTAGAGGTTGTCAGAAGGTCTAGCCAGACCTTCTATGAAAGGGATAAGATATGGCTGGTGGATCTCAGTTGCACAATGGTAGAAATTGAGGCTAAGTCTGTCTCTTTTACTAGTTCTTTCCTCCTCCCTCCTCTTTCTCACAAGAATTAACTGTCTTCTCACTCTTTATTATTGCAGCATAGACACCAATGCTAGTCCTTCCTGACTTAAA